CAAGCCAAAGAAACTACTTCAGGAATAGTTCATCTCACTTTCAACAGGGAAGCTACAGGTTTGGGAGTTGCAGGCTTACAGGGAGCTTATTGCTCCATTGTACTTTGGGCCACTGCCTTGGACACAAGACTACCTCTGTCCTCCCGAACCAAGGCTGATAGGTCTCAGTTTAAATTTAAAAAATATTTCTTTCATGCTCTGCCTATCAGATGAGTTCTACCTTTGTGCATTAATGCTATGTTCACAGGTGTGTGGACGTTTGGTTCCTCAGGGGCAACTAGCAGCAGCACACCTTGTGCTGCCACTTGTTATCCTTGGACAGCACCTGTGCCACACACTGGTGCATGGCAGGTTAACCCAAGTTGGGTAAAGGAGGCTGGGGCCAGCACTGGGCTAGCCCTAGCAGCCTTACCTGGAGTCCTGGGGCTACTGCACCCTGCAGCACTAGCAATCCAGCCACATTGAGCCCAGCTAGCAGTTGCAGCAGGCACTGGTTTTGAACAGCACACACTGCCCCTGCATGCACCGCTCTGCTTTTCACCACCCTCATGGGGTTTTTTTGACCCCTGGATATATAGGGCTTGGTCGGTCAGTCAGTCAGTCAATCAAAAAAAGCCACTTGCTGCTCCCTTGCAGTGCAGAGAACTGAACTCGCAGTAGGTGGTGCTGTAGATATGTCTGGACATGGCTTACATGTCCAGTTGCTTGGGGCTGGCCACAAGCCTAGGGGAGGAGGTGAGGAAGTTACTGGTACTGAGACAGTAATTACTCTCAAGTAGCCAACTGGAACATGCTTAAAGCCTACACATTAGGTTTGAACATGAGACTCCCAAAATAAGAGAACACAAACCTGTGTAAGCCAACTGGTATCTATTGCTGCATAACGCTGGAGTCTTCCACATGTTAAGATCCCATCAAGCCAGCACTCTGGTCAGGTGTCAGCAGAGCCCATTAAGGAGTGGGTGGATAGAGGATGGTTATATGGTAGGCAACATTGTTCCTTCACAGTGCACTCTGATGGATTGGTGTTATTGGGTACCAGGCAGCTGGAAGCAGTCTGAGAATACCTAAATTCTGGCATTTAACTCCCTTCCCAATCCTATCTGTCACTCTGTGAAGCTGTATGTGCTCTACTGCACATCAGCAGTTTGGAAGTAAATTCTCCCCTTTCCACACTTCAATGTGGCATAATTATCACAAGCCTTAGAATCTGTCAAACAGACACTAGCTGAGCTAATCCACGGTAACAGGATACTGGGTATCTTCGGTACTAGAGAAAACCAATAAATTTACTTGAGCTTGAAACAGCTGGTAAGTTACTGCAGCTCAGCTTCCATTCACTGCAGGAGTGGATAGATAGGACAGAGTCTGCTGAAATACAGCAAGGCCTACTGGTCCCTTTCAATCCATGTAATTGTTTGTTTCATGTACTCACAGTGCTAGTCTGATCGTGTTTTTAGTATCCTTCAGAAGGAAACACTCTAGAGCCCAGAATTCTGAGAGTGCCGTGGAATTATAGTTTAAATTTTGTCATTTAGTAGTTAATTCCTAAAAACCCCTTTAAAATATTTTGTTCTTTATGATTTAACAAATTCCACTTTACAATTTAAAGATAAGAAACCATGCAACCCCAGACTTGCATATTTTACTAAAAATCTCCAATGAACTGAAAACCCTTCCCTTTTAGGAAGATATGCAGAGAATAACTTGCAAATTATTGTCCACTGCATAAGAATCACATTACACTTTCCTTATTCTTAAAGCATCCTGGCATGCAAGCTAACACTTTCAGAACGAGTTACCAATACCCTTTATGAATGCAGTTCTTTCCCTTCAGACAGGTATTGTACAACTGGATGATCAGCTGAAGCTGCAACCATTAAGAAAATACACTTTAGTCACTTTTTTAGGCCTCATGAATTTGAAAACACCTTCATTCATCTCATTTTAAAGTAAGTGAGACCATGGACTATGGTCACCAAGCTAGAACTTCAGAAAGATACCACATTTGGAAGGTGACAGGTAACTCAGACAAGCTAAATGGAAACTGTACAACATGAAAAAGCCGCCAAACTCAACAGCGACATATATTTTCTAAGTCTTTGCAAGAAACACTTCATTCCCCAAAGACTAAACATCTACAATCCCCTGACTACTACACACAACTCCAAATATGCTTCACAGCTATGCAGAAGAACTTCAGAGAAA